AAGGAAAGCCATGCCAGATCAGACCAGAAGTCCATTTAGTCCAGCACTCTGAACACACCAGCTGCCCTCAGGATCCCTCAAGCAGGAAGGGTACAAGTCCTCCTCCTGCCCAAGCTGCTTAGCAGCTGGCGGATACAGGCAGGCCACCTTTGGTAAAGGAGGGAGCACATCACCAGCAAGGCTACTGGCCACTGATCGCCTCCTCCCGCCCAAATCTGTCCAATCTCTTTTTAGAACCATCCAGACTGGCAGTCGCCACCACTTTCCATGCTTGGAGAGATCCTTTTGGAGCTCCTCACAGTCCCTTTTGGTTTTAATCACCCTAAAAAGTTTAGTGTCATCAGCAAACTTGGTCATCTCACTACTTACTCCTGATTCCAGATCATTTATGAAACAGGATGAAAAGCACTGATCCTAATACAGAACCTTGTGGGACTCCACTGGTGGCATCTCTCTATTGCCATTTATTCCCACCATCTATCTCCTGCTCTTTAATGATCCATTCAGTTAGTGATCCATAAGAGGACCCCCCCCCGCCACACACACACACACCTTTTATTCCATGACTGATTGGTTTGTTCAGGAGCCTTTGTCAAAAGCCTTTTGGAAGTCTAAATAAACTATGTCTAATTGATTGCCCCAACTATGCGCTTATTGACACTCTCAAAGAACTCCAAGAGGTCAGTGGGACAAGACTTCCCCTTGTGGAAGCAATGGTGATTTTTTCCCCAAGGGGCTTGTTCTTCGATATGCTTACTGGTTCTATCTTGAATAATACTTTCAAGCAGTTTACTCAGAACAGATGTTAAGCTAACTGGCCTGTAATTTCCAAAATCTCCCATGGATCCCTTTTTAAAAGTTGCATCATTCTTGAATCCTCTAATATGAAGGCTAATTTATGGGCATGTTAAATATTTTGATAAGAAGGTTTCATGCTTGAGTTCTTTGATAAAGATAGATACCATCTGGACCAGGTGACTTGCTGACTTTCAGGTTGCCAATAAGGTTGAGAATGTCAACAAGGTTGAAAATTTGAATGAGCCAGATTGCTCCAGTATGGCCACCTGCATCAAGAAATTCACCCAGGTCAAGAGGAAAAACAGAAACAGTTGTGGACAACTCATGAAAGTAAGATAAGTAAATCCTCCCTCTACCACACACTCACACACACACCCCTTCATAGAAATTCAACTGACCCACGTCCCAAAGAAGAAACCCTTCTGTAACTTTCATGTGGGTAAATTGTGCCCCAAACTTGGGAAAGGAATTTGATTCAGTGATATTACAGCTGGATTAGGGCTCTCTCTCTCTCTCTCTCTCTCTCTCTCCCCTCCCCCTCTCTTTCCATATACACATACAGTCCATCTTACTCTCCCATGAAATGGGACTATAATATAACACATAAAAACATAATATGATTTATTTTTCAGCCAAGGTATAGCAAGTGTATCTATGAGAGTGAGAAAAGAATTGTCCACCAATTAAATATTCCATGTTGATTTACCATTTGCTTTTTAAACTAGGGTCCCCCAATCTTCTGTTTCTCTGCATGTTGCTGCCATGTACATAACTGCCCCACTGGGTGACCTTGGGCCAGTCCCCAACTTTCAACATGGAAGATTTCTCAGGGCTACTGTGAAGATAAATTAGGAAGAGGAAACCCATGTCTGCCACTCTGTGCTCCAGCGAAATGTTGAGCAGTCCCTGGGTGCATCTGTTGTGTGTTTTAATCACTTCTCTCCCACTTTAAAGCTCCAGAAGCAGCCATGTTGACCCATCCCAAATCCACAGAAGGACAATATTCTTAGTATTGTATCCATAGTAGTTATTCCATAGTAGGACCCACAAAGTTGTCACAAAATATTGGGCCAGATTTGATCTCTTCAACGCTTTCCATGAAGCTTCATTGTAAGCAAAAGTGTGATGGAAGAAGAAGCCGGCTGGATCGAGACTTAAGGAATGGATGGTAGGAAGGGAAGTGGATCATAGGGGGCAGTCCTATGCATGTTTAAACCGAAAAAAGTCTGGCTGGCTGGGGAAGGGTGGGAGTTGAAGGACATTTTCTGTCTAAAAATGCATAGAATAGCACACTTAGTTGGAACTACTTTTCAGATTTGCTTAAGCCAAGAGACACGAACGATTGCTGAGAATATAACATAATAATAAAACTAAGAAACCAAAGAATCTCATGGCACTTTAAAGCTAGCAAGTTTATTATGACATTGTTTTCTGTGGACAGGGCTCGCTTCATCAGATTGCACAAAAGCTTATGCCAGAAGAGATTTGCTAGTTTTCAAAATGCCACAAGGCTCTTAGTTGTTCTGTTACAATGGATTAATAAAGCTACCCCTGTAGAAACCCCTGTAGAAATTGCGCAGTAAAGTCCAATAGTTACTGATATCTGCCTCTACTGTGAACAAGCTCTTGTTAGAAGCAGAAGAGAGAACTTCTCGTTTTTATTTTAGCCCCTCTAAAGCACCTGCTGTCTGCCAGATGTTTTAGATGGACTGGGTTCAGTCAAGGGTTGAGTGTGACTCATCAATGAACCATGGGTTGTTGCAGAAACATTATCGCGTTGCTTATACCCTGCTGATGTAATAAACTGGTGAACAACCCACAATTCTTAACTCAATAACAAACCATGGATTCTCTTCATGAGTTGTTCTTAGCAACACAGTTTGGTCCAGGCATGATAAACCACACTCAACCCACACTCAACCCTTGAGTTGTCTGGATTAAGTCAATGTAATCCCATTAGCCCCAGCCATCATGGCCAATGGTTGGGGAGGATGAGAATTGTAGCCCCCACCATCTGGAGGACAGCAGGTCATCTATCTCTGCTCTAGAATCACTGCCCATCAGAGTAGACATTATGGGACAAGTCAGAGCAATGCCCTACCTATAAAGCAATTTGTAGCAACCTCACCACCTTATTTGATTAAGAAGTCAAGACTTATTGCATTGTGAGGTGGCAGAGGCCCCTGCTCCGGAGGTATTTCATCAGAGGCAGGATGGTAATCCATCAGAGATATTGGAACTGCAGCCAAATGTGCAGAGTCTGCCTTGAGCAAGCAGTTGGATGATCAGACCAGATGATCTCCAAGATCTTTTCCAACTCCGTGATTCCACATTGCAGGGGTGGCCAGACTTGCTCGATGTAAATGTCAGATGTTTGGGAGATGCAAGTGGGCACCCATGAGCAGCGGTGAGCAGTGAGCAGCAAGTGGGCACCGCAAGCGGTGACAACAGGGGGCAAGTGGCAAGCAGGAACCCACAGTCCCCCCGGGTGGTGAGCGGCAAGCTGCAAAATAACTCAAAGAGCCACATGCGGCCCCCGGGTTAGGTAGGGAGCAGGTTCCTACAAGGCAAGCCTGTTGCATTTCCTCCTGATCCTGCACGAGTGCGAGGGAAATGTAGAACACACTCCACATGCTCTGTGGCCGCACATCGCAAGCAAATTCCTGCAGTAATGGACAAACAGTTACAGGGAAGCTTGCCCATCATTTCTTATCCCATTGAGCAATGCAGCCGCATCTCCTGGGAAACCCATTACCCCCCAGTATACGGTTTGAAATCCTGGGTCTCCAGCATAGCGACTTTGATACAAGGATATCTATGGACACTTTTCTTGGTGACTGCCAGGCTCACTGCCCTCCTGATTTTTATTTTATATCGTGAGATTTCTTTAATTTTAGAAAATGGGAGGCTGGCTTGCTGTGAAGCAAAAAGCTCCTCTCCAACATCTTTATAACAGTACTTTTGTGTTTTGGAATTCAGACCCCAGCGTTGCCTTAGACTTAGGTTCATGACCAAGTTGTTTTTCTTTTATTCTCACCAGTTTGGGTGCTGGAAAATGAGCTTTAAGTGACTGCCCATGCCACCATGGGATCCATTTTCTGAATGGGCTGGGTGTCTCCAAGGCATCGATTTTGCGGGAGTGTTGATGACGTTCTCTCAAATGTCCACTAACCCCCAAAGTTTAAGGGCCTCCGATTTAATTTACCCTCCAGTGGCAGGAGAAACTCGTAGGAAATGTGCTAAATGGATGGGAGATAGTGGTGATTGCACAAAGCTGGCTCATCACGCGGTGCTGTCTTCTTAATGGAGCAACAAATTCCTGCTATCATCCTATCCCAGAGATGGGCAGTTCGGTGCCCAGTTGCTGCAATCCATGCCCCCATCTCTGCACTGTTGCCCCTGCATCCAATATTTTTTAAAAATAATTTTTATTTTATTTTTTAAAGGAATTATGGCATCTATAGTCCTAAGATGAAAGCTACAAAACTTTAAAAGAGGCATATTTGACCTTCTGGGGGCTCCATATTGCTGCAGATGCCATCTTTTTACTTTAAACATTAGATGCAACAGTGATGTCGGAATTGTCTGGCACATTGCAGGCTGCAGGGGTATCTGGGTGAAAATGACCCCTGACCCTCCTGAAATCACCCACACCAATTGTCATGGCAAAAAAGTAAAGAAAGTCACCTGCTTTTTAATTCCTAGGAGCATGAACCATGTAGGTTTTTCTTCTGATCTAATAATTTACTCTAATCCTGTAATATGCCCGATGAGCATAAGAACCCTTCTATAGCAGTTGCTAATGCAGATGTGCACCTGGCTAACTTGTTCCTCATTGTGAGACTCCTCCATACCCTGCTTTGTTTCCTGTTGGGTGTGGATGGAGAACCTGCACCCAAACCCAGAACCATCACTGGTTGTTCCACATGACCGGCTGCCCAGGATCCCAGTTAGAAAGGAGCCAATCTGGTTAAGAACAGCTGTCTCTCTGTGTTTGTCTTTGTTCAACCTAATTCCATGTTTCCATGCTTGGCACCCATGGAAATCCAGTGTGATTATAACAGGATCAAAGGAGTACCCTACTCCTTCCTGATTTGCAAAAAACCAGTGGCCCCGTGATGAGGCCATAGACTGAATCATGCAGAGGATGAACTATCAGCTTGCATCATGGAACAGCTTCTGTGTGTTTCAATTTCAAACAGGGCACCTCGGGAGACAAGAACAGCAGCCTGAACAGGGCCCTTAGTGTGGACCATAAGAACTCAGCTGATGACTATCTTAGAAGTCCATTTTCTTTTACAGTGAAGCAAAAGCTAATGATGTATTATACAGTCCGTGTGGCATAGCATTGCAATAGCTTCTGTGTTGACCTTGTTCCAAACTGTACCTGTTTACCTGACAACAAAAGCTAAAATATGCTGTATACTATGTAAAATGTATTGATTACGAAATTTGTTTGGAGTTCAGTGATTCCTTCTCTGCTCACATCATAATTTTGGAAATTGTGCCAGTGTTCCTGTAAGTTTTCATGTGTGTGTTTGTGTGTGTGTGTGTGCGTGTGTGTGTGTGAGTGAGCCCATGCAGGAGTATGGGTTGTGCACGTTGTACAATATCCGAGAATTAGCAATTTAATCCTAAATGAAAAGGGCAATTGTCTTATCTTTCTTAAATGCTGGATCTGCTTAATTTTGTGCAATCTTGAAGTTTCATGTGTGGTTGAGGATTTATGTGTTTGGGCCAAGATCCAGAGAACTCCTTAAAAATACATCCATTCAGTACATGGAATTCTCATATGGGTCCCTTGAATCGCAGCCTTAGTATTTGATTGTTTTCCTTCTTTGTATGCAAGTTTTTATTGTAAAGATGAAAATGAATGTTTTTTAAAATCAACTTCAAATCTACGGTCACAAATCTGAAATGGAATAATGTATTTGTAGGTTTCATGATGATGAAATTAGATGTTCATCGTGCAATTTGAACCATCAATGTGTGTTTTACCGCTGGGTTGGTGTCAAACCTGGGAGGGCGGGTCCACAAATGCTGTAACATTTGAAACCCACATTCAGTAACAGAAGTTCTAGTTTTATTCCTGAAACCTGGATTTTGAACTTAGAAGAAATGGAGGGCTATGATTTGTAAAATAAATAAATGAATGAATGAACAAATAGTTTGCTAGATTTCTGATCATTCTTCAATATTCAGAATAGAATCCTGTTGTTACATATGTCAAGGAATTCATCAAATTTCAAATTCCAATGAAAATTTATTTCAGCACTAACATATAGCCAATTCACGTCACCTTTCTATGGCTCCAGTTCTATAGACATTTCCCTGGAAGAAAGGTCCAGTTAATGGGACATATTTCTGAGCAGCTGACATGATTCACTAATTGGATTATGTGTTTGTCATGGACAGGGGAGATAACATAGAAACAGAGCGAGTCAGAAGGGGTTTCCCGGGTCATCTAGTCTGACCCCCAGCTCCAGCTGGGTCCGCTCACGACATGTCCACCATGTACATGTCCAGCCTATCCTTGAACACCCTCACCAATGGGGCTTCAGCCATCTCCTGTGGAAGCTCATTCCATACCCTTGGACTGTCAGGAAGCGCTTTCTGGCATCTAACAGCTGATTGCAAACAGAATCAAACACAACCCTGTTCATACCAAGAGTCCTGTGTTGCTAAATACAAATGAAGCTGGAGTGTGCTGACTCCATCTTTAATATCACTCATCTGAAGTTCTGCATGGAACTTGGCCCTCTCTTTTCAGCTGACCAATTGCTCTTCATCCTGATCCAATTCTCCGGCAGTAGAATGAAGCATTACCAAGCCTTAGGTGGGTGTGCTAGATGTTGGCTGACTTGCCCAATCTTTAAGTTCTGGGCAGGATAAAATACTCCTGTCATAGGAGGCAAAATAGATTAAGACCACAAACATATGCATGATGGGATTTGTAGGGCTTTTCTCTGTCTAAACATATGTAGGATTGTGCCTTAAGGCTATGATCTAAAATTCATTATTCAAGAAGTAAGCCCATTGAATACAGTGGTACTTTTGATCAAAAGGCCATATGAATTTATGTGGGAGTAAATCCCATTAAAAACAAGTGGACTGAATTTTGAGGGTAAAACGCTTAGGAGTACCTGTTCTCTTTCTTAGAGTCCTTCCCACATTTAGGCTCACAAGTGTGAACAGAGACCTAAGAAAGAAATTCTGTTAAAGATGTTAGTGTGTCCATTCACATATTGCACCTTTCTTGCTCTAGGGGGCATTTTTTATCACCTGGCATGTTGCTTGGGTGTGGAGCTATTCACTGAGTGGCGGGGAGAGGGGAGGCCTGCTCCACACACAGCCGTACCAAGTGACTGGATCTGCAGCCGCAGGAAGGCTGAGCAACTGCCATGCTCTTGACCTGCAAACGACGACACTGGTGTGCTCTAACAATGACATATCTATGAGCACCACCTAACACCATCAGATTAGGGGAGGTATTCTGCTGCACAGTGCCCTGGGTTCAGGCAACATAGTAGGCGCATCCCCATGTCACGAAAAGCAGACCCTTGTTGATCTGTCATGTCATCCGAATTCATCAGTTTCAGGTATGTTTGGCTTCCCGAAACCATGGAGAGATAAAATGGTTTGTTGTAAGGTTTCTGGGCATCACTGCGGCTTCTTGTGATGTCCTGACCAAAGAGCTCAATTTTACCACCGGTGGTGAAGAAACACCATAGAGTCCAGTGGAGATAGCAAGAATGGAAAGCGGCCACTCCAGGTTTTCGATCACTACTGCTCATAGCTCCCTAGCGACACACACACACACACACACACGCACACCATCTCTCTCATTCCTATTGGCTGAATGATGTATCTTTCACCCTATTTACTCTCTGAAACAGGGAGAAAGGGGGTAAATGGATGGAGGGAGAAGGGGGAAACCATGATAAAATTTAAAGAAATTGGGGGCTGGAGTAATTGGAAGATGGTGGTTTACTTGGGGGAGGAAGGTGAGAACCTGCCTCAAACCTTCAGTGGACCAATTGGGAAGAGGCAGCTGAGGCTGATGGGGATGTGGCCTAGAAGGGTTTTTTTCTTGTGCAGGCTGCTGGCATGCATGCTAAGAGTGGGAGGATGGAACAGAGAGTATGGAAACTGCATTTCCATGGATACCATGTCACTGCCTGATCAGTTAGTCCAGGAAAGAATCTTTGAGCCACGAAAACTGCGCAGTGTTGCTTGCCACAATGTGTGAATCCAGCCAGTAACTCATGATCAAAGTTTGGCTGCATGTTCTCTCTGAACCCTGGCTTATGGTTGAAACATGGATTATGTTGCCTGAATATAGCTAAGAAACCGTGGTGCACAACTCACAGTTCACAATCCAAAAATAAACCATGGGTGCCCTTCAGGAATTGTTTGTCTTTGACAAGCCATGGTTTGTTAGTGCAGCTCAGTCTGGACAACACAATCACCTGGATTGCAACATCAATCCACTATTCAGTGATGACATACTCAACCCCCGACCCTCACAACCCAAGCCTTGAGTTGAGCACAGTTTACTGTGTTGCTTGTACCCAGTCGCTGTGTTGCCATTTCCACCAACCTAGCGCATTCCAGGTTCGAGTTGCTAAGTGAAGCAAACACAAAGTAGCAAGGACTGCAGGATTTAAGGGACATTTCTGTGCTTTCCACACCACAACTGTATTCACTTTGACCCTATTTCAGTGACCCTACTACAGAATCCAAAATGGTGCCTAAAAGCTTTATGGAGTGCCACTGGGAAAATTGGCCATGGCTATGCTTTTAGAAGTGTGGCTAAACCTTGGAAGTAAGTCCCACTGGCACTAGTTCCTGCATCAGTATGTACACATGTGATACGCCCTTTTGAAAACAGCAGGACAAGTCCCTTGCCTGTCTGGTGGTGAGTATTTTGCTCTGAATGAGACTTGGATACAGTTAATTGTAGCTGGACTGGGGCCATGATAATGACTCACAAACAAACAAGGACATCCCAGTGGATTCTCTATTGGCCAGTATGGCGTCATAGACCATCTCAGCCACAGGACCCAGGTTACTGCCACTGGATGTGACAGTTTCTTGTTTCTCCAGGGAATCACACGAGAAAGGTTGGCTCACAGAACCCCCTCCTCCTGCTTTGGAGTGGCTTTTTATTTTGAGGCAGGTGGGACTTGTGAATCAATTAAATTCAGCCCAATTTGCAGTGTGTATCAAAGGTTCACGGGTCTGTACCCTTTTCCTTTTCTTTTAGGGTCTGGGTACTTCAGTAAATTTTGCATTTTAAAATAAGCAAAAACGCCTCCAGTTGTGTATAGCAAATGTGACTTTTTATTACAAGAATGCGTATTTAACATAAAAACAAGCAAACAAACGTTTCTTTGTACTCAGTGAAATGTCTAATAAAGTCCCAATATCCATCATCTTGTTTTGATGATTTGTTCCAGTTTTGAGGTTCAACGAGGTCCCCAGATAAGATGGCTTCATACACAGCACTCTTCATTTCACTGCACTGAAAATGTACTTTCTGTAGTTAGCAGCATGAATGGAAAGGACACTTTCTAAACTGAAGAGGCTGCTGCCTACACAGGATGTTTTTCCACCAGAGGTCATGCCTGCTGGACTACAATATCCACTTTCACTGGGTGCAGAGTGGCATTGGTGGAAGCAATGATATTAATGCCAGTACAGTATATCTTCAAATTACGAAGAAACACAAGGGAAAATAGCATCTCCTACCTCCAAAGGAACATCCGCTGCCTGCTACCCTTCCCTGGCCCAAAGGCAAACATCTGCTGATCACGGTCCAGGATGGAGAAGCCCATAGGTGTGCAAGAGCAGAAAGGAGGTGGACCATCTCCTTGAGAAGGGTTCTCATGGGGGCCTACGGGGTCTTCTGGCTTGTTATGTCATCTCAACCCAGCCGGAGTTGTTAGCAAACCACATTGCTGGGTTCGGGGCACCCAAAAAGCCCCTTCCGGCTCACATGCCTCCATGATTTCTAGCAACATTTGAAGCCAGTCCTAGAAAGGTAAAGAAAGGAAATGCCCTAGGGGAGAATGTATGCAAAGAAGACTATCTTAACTCTGTGGAGAATCTGGAAAAAGCCGCAGTAAAGTGGTGGGTTAAAAGCCCCATTTAAAGAATCTCCAGACAACTAACTGTGCAGGGATAAATTAGTTAGTACCTGTGGCATGAATTACACACACCTTTTCTGCCACCCTCCCCTGAGCTGGGCTGAGGTAGGGGATAAGGTAGGGGAAAGCTCAGGGGGACACTGCATGTGGTGCTTTCGGAGTGGAAGCGAGAGGCCTCTGGGGCAGGGGGAGCTGCTGATCCACTCCTGGGCAACAGGGGAGGAGACCTGCTCAGGGGCCTCCGCTGCAGGCGGGGAGTGATCTGCTGGATGGAGCTGCTTCTGCTCTCCAGCTGATCACCTGGCTCCTGCCCCGAAGAAGGCCTCTGGGGCAGGATGCAGGCGGACCCAGGGTGGGCCGGCGAGGGCGTTAATGGCCATTCTTATTTATGTATTCTTATTTATTTAAAGCTTTTATAAACTGTCCCTATACTAGTGACTCAGAACAGTTTACAACAAACAACAAGTAAAATAGAAATTAGAAATAGCACAGCATGCAGTATTAAGCACATTAAAACCAATTAGACATTTAAATAATGGGAGAAGAAAAAGGTTTGTGCCAGGCGCCAAAAAGAAAGCAGTGTTGGCGCCAGGGGAGCCTCTCTGGGGAGCGTATTCCATGCTCTTGTACCAGGAATCCAGGTTTGGATGGGACAACAGGCTTTCCCAGTAAGCAGAAACACAGAGCAAAGCCTTGGCTCGTGTCGTGGTTTTGAGGACTTTCAGGTGCCACACTGAAATTGCCCTGACTAGATTTAGATGACATGACAGACGATGATGGAAAACCCCTGTGTCTTGCGGTGTCCTATGAACCGAACCAGAGTCCCCTTGCCGATCTCATCCCGACGAGAGGAGGCAAGAGAGAAATCCTGTGGTCAGATATTTCCTTAGCCATTGCTAAGCCCATCTATTTAGAGCAATTAACCCATAATTTCCCTTAAAAAAAGGATTGCTCATCAAGATCATGAAAATAACCTTATAAGGGCTTTGAGGCCTTCTTTTTTATTTTATTTTATTTT